CAGTAACAAGCGGGGCCCAGCAAACTAAAGATTTCTGGGCAGGGCCGGTCTGACCATTTGGCCACGAGGGCCCTTGGCCAGGGCTGCCAACAGGATGGTACAGGCAGCCCTCCTGTACTGGTCGGGCCCCATCAAGTCAGCAGGGGGGGGGGGCTAGACCAGGTACAAGCTGCCTGTACTGAAGGAGGAAGGTCCCGCCCACTTGCCCGGGTAACCTGTAGGAGGGCACATGTGCATTAGCGCCGTCTTCCCCTGGCCCCACCGTTGTCCCGGCAGTCCGCAGCAGCGGAGGATCCGACCGGACTCAGCAGCGAGCTAAGCCAGCTCCGAAGCCGTCATGTGTCCCGGGCTGACTGCAGACTGACACAGCCCGGGCAGCAGCCTTAGGAAGTTCCCATCCAAACCTGGAGCTGGCTTTGAGCCTGCTGGCCAATAACGGCACGGAGCCTGGGAGCCGTGTGCAGGTGAGCACCGCCCCTTTCAGCTGTGTCCTCCCCCCTCTCAGCTATCCCATCCCCATATATACCTTCCTGTATACACCTCCCAATAAATACCTCCCCATATATACCTTCCTGTATACACCTCCTCATATATACCTTCCTGTATACACCTCACAATATATACCTCCTCATATATACCTTCCTGTATACACATCATAGTTCCCTGTATATACCTCCCCATGTATACCTTCCTGTATACACCTCATGATTCCCTGTATATATCTCCAAATATATACCTCCCAGTATACGCCTCATATTTACCTGTATATAACCGCCCATATATACCTTCCTGTATACACCTCATACCTCCTGTACATAGCTCCCCATATATACCTTCCTTTTTACTCCTCATACTTCCCTGTATATACCTCCCCATGTATACGTCCCTGTATACTCCTTATACTTCCCTGTAAATACCTCCCTATCTGTATACACCTTCCTGTATATACCTCATACCTCCTGTATATATATCCCAATATATACCTCCCAGTGTACACTTAATCATTCCCTGTATATACCTTCCTCTATACACTAGAGCTGCAACAACTAAGTCGATTATAATCAATGATGGAAAACGTTGTGAACGTTTTCCATCATTGATTAGTTGACTTTCGATTAGTTGGCCTGCTGGCGACTCCCCGCACGCTACTTCTCCTCCCAGCTTCGACGCTCAACACATCTCCTCCCCGCATGCCGCTTCTACCCCCGCCTCACGGACACGCTGCTTCTCCTCGCCTCATGGACTCTCCGCACGCCGCTTCTCCTCCCCGCCTCACGCTGCTTCTCCTCATGGACTCGCCGCTGCCCGCCCATCCACGATGAGCACAATGAAGCAAGGAGGAACAGGTGTGGGTGGAAGGCAGCTGCCAACAGACAGGCCCACAATCTCAAGGAGACTGCTCAGGTAAGCCTGCACTTTCCACACATAGCACAATGCTGGGATAGTGGGATTTGTATTCCTCTATAGATGATGGTACATTGTGCTGGACTGTATATTATACAGAGCAATATACCATCAGCTATAGAGGAATACAAATCCCAGAAATACATTATACACTGTATGTATAATTTATTATTGCTGGGATTTGTAGTCCTCTGTAGTTGATGGTATTCTGCATTGCGCCGCATACTCATTTTACAGCACAATGCAGAATACCAGCAGCTATAGAGGACTATAAATCCCAGCAATAGTACATTATAGTATAACTTACTATTGCTGGGATTTCTTGTATTAGCTGCTGTATTACCTGCTGGTATTCTGCATTGCGCCGCTGTATAATGTACTATATTGCACACCACACTTTTTTTTACTTCCACCGCTCCAAGCTTGCTCCCGCGATGGACTACAATCTCAATACAAACTAGTAGTCCATCACTGGAGCCATTTTATTTTTAAATCGATTAATCAAACTTAATAATCGGCTAACTAATCGATTTAGAAAATAATCGTTAGCTGCAGCCCTAGTATACACCTCTTACTTCCCTGAACTGTATATAGCTCCCCATATATACCTTCCTGG